CCCCAAAACCCCAAAACCCCAAAACCCCAAAACCCCTGCAGATCCTCGGGTCCATAAAAATATAATCTTTATCAAAATGGAGAAAAGCTACGACCACCTGTTTAAAATATTATTTATTGGTGACTCTGGAGTCGGCAAACTCGACCTTTTAATGCTACTTTTAGGCGAAGACTTCAACGATAATCTAATGACAAGAATAGGGATTGACTTTAAGGTGAAAACTGTAGATATTGATGAAAAGAAGATTAAACTACAGATTTGGGATACAGCTGGACAAGAGAGATTCAAAAATGTAACTACTTCTTACTTTAAAGGAGCACATGGCGTTGTATTAGTATATGATGTGACTGATAAGAAATCTTTCGAAAACATATATACTTGGATGACTGAAATTGAGAATAAAGCTCCTGAAAATATACATATAATTCTTGTTGGAAACAAGTGAGATATGGAAGATGCAAGACAAGTCAGTCCAGAAGAAGGCCAAGAACTTGCAGATAAATACAATATCAACTTTGTCGAAACATCAACAAAAGATTTCTCCTCCTTTGAAGATACTTTCTTCCATATGGTAAAAGAAATTAAAGCAATAATCGAAAATACATATCATGCGGCCTCTTCCAACCCAAGTATATCCCTCTCTAACCCAAAAGGCACCAAAGCTGCTAAAACTACAAAGTCTTGTTGTTAATTCAACCATTTTTCTACTTCTTGATCCCTAAATTGAAGGTTTCTTATTCAACTGAAGAGTCCTTGGCTCTTTCAAGATTCCAGATTCTGCCGTAAGTTAATGATTAGGATAAAAATGAAAGTTAAAGCATGAGATTTATGAGAAAATAATGCTTTTAGGGTTAATTATGCATGAGTTGAAGTTATTCTTTAGGACCTGGGTTTCGGTAGTTACGATCATACATTTAGATAGTCTTTCTCATGAAATTAACTTGAGCATTAAAGTAATTTCAAATAAATAAAAATAATTTGGGGTTTTGGGGTTTTGGGGTTTTGGGG